GTGCTGCCCCATCCATAAACTCCCTTTACCGTAAATCACGTATGGCACGATCCACAGTCTACGGACAGTTAAGTGGGGTCCTTCTCAATAGCATTGCCATTTTTTGTAACAATATGCAATAAAATCTCGTTCCATTTATTTGAAACTCCTTACAATAATTAGGGTTCGGCTGCATCTGGGCCACCGTGTCTGCCAGATTCAGAACCCTGTGAAGTTTTCTGAGGACATTATCGTGCGCGCGGTCACATCTTCAGTGTGCAACACACGTGTCATGCCTCAGCAGACACCGATCAGGCTTTATCAAATGTCCTAATGGCGTCAGAAATCCCTCCATTAGCCAAAGGTTTAGGGCAAGTCAAATTGGGACGAAAGGTAAAGCCTGGGCTTCTGCAGCTAGGGCTTCTACGCTGCTTTTGTCGACAGTGTCCTGGGGCGTTCAGAGAGGAAGGTTCACGTGGGCAAATCTTCCTGATTCAGTCCCCTGTAAGTTGGACAGATTCAAGTCGGCAACTTATGGTTGCCAGGCCACTAAATCTCGTTCCCCTTCCCCCCCCCCTCCTCAATCGACTTCCATGTCTGCTGTAGCAACAGCAGCAGTAACCGTAGAAGCTGGGATGTCCGACCGCAGGCACTTAATCCTGCTGTGGCAAACAGGGGGTTTCCGGTCGTCAAAATTTATTGGAGAGGGGAGGTGGTCCAGCAGTGATTAAGTGGATAAGTCTTTGAAGACGCCTGTCTCCTCGCAGGTACCCTCCCCCCACCCCCCAGCGCTGGGGGGTTACATGGTTGCAGATAAATTGAAACTGGTTACACACTGACAACCGTTCCTCCTCCAACCCCCCATCATCGCAGGGCCTGGCCTGGCTGAAACAGGCCGAGATGTGTCTACGACAGGTCGCCGCTGCTGCTTAGGGTTGTGAAGGTTACCAGGGCAAGTGCGCTGCAGGGATTCATAAGCAGTTTAATGACGAAAAGTTCCGTAGTATGTACACCCCTGACAGTTCGACCGACGCAGTCGATGATCTACATCGTGTACTCCACAGCAAGTTGAGCTCAGGCATGGGGACTTGCGCGTGAATTAGTTTGTAGGCTTGCGCAGCGTCTGCCGGACTCTGCCCTCTCTCCTCCCGCCTGAACCCGTTGTCATAACGGAGTCAGGAAGATGGGAGGCGGGAGAGGACGCAGGTGGCTGGCACGGCCATATCCGCACCAAGGCCAATCACCAAACGCCTGATCTACAGCAAACTCTTGACCAGGATTTAATACAATGGCGGCACCACAACGGCTCAGAAATACGATGAAGACGACTGGGTAGCCATGTACACGACCTGTATACCCAGCGCGAGCGCAAGTGCATCTGCGAGAATTGCCAGCGCACAATATGCTGCGTGGCCGTGGTTTGCTGATCATGGCATAGTAGACGCTCGCAGTCTCTAGGGTCAGACGATGCCATACTTGAATACGGACCCCAAGAAACCAGCCTCGTTTAAAAAGAACCTGTGCTCTTATCAGAAAGTCGACCAGCTGATAGGGAAAGAAGTACAGAGTAAACCAGACGTTTGGTGATGTCGGTACTTTTAGTAGTGGAAAATTCATATCAACAGGAAGCAACGGAGACGTAGATAGCAGCCTTACCTCAGCCGCCAAACGGTCAGACTTCGGATTTTCATACTAGTCCAGTTAGTTTCTGAGTTGAATGCCCTACCAGTTGACAGGCACCTCACGCTCAAGTAGCATGAGATTGGTGTTCTCTCATCTGGCCAGTTTGCAGCAGAGGATTTGGGTGCGTGTTTTGC